ATTGAATTATAATCATGAATACCTCCTAAGAATTGTGGTAGATCATACAATAATAAACGAGTATTGTAAGTAGCCTTGATACAATAAATAATTTTAACAGCGTGTATCACATATAAAATTATTATAAAATACTCGGTTAATGAATTTTGTTTATTACCACGACATTTATCATTAAGGTTGTTTAAATAGCGATCAATAATTGACTTATTTACATTAATAACATTTGTATTTGAGACAGTCAACATGGTAAAATATTATTTTATTTATACACTATAGTTTACATTTAAAATTCATTCATATTATAATAATTTTCTTTATTAAAAATATTATCATTTATGATAATATAAGTGTACATGTTTAATAATATTGATTTATATTCATAAATATAAGTATAAGTAAAATATAAAAGTAGGTTAGAGAACCTACTTTTATTTTAGTTTATAAACCTAAAATACAAATATTATCACGCTATTTCTAAATTAAATACATAGAATTCTCATTGAAATCAAAATAATATTTATCATTTAATTTTTTAAATAAAATAAATAATGTTGATTTATGTTTTTATCATTATACAGTATTTCAATAATTAATCTTTATAATTAAATAAATACTTAGCATTAATTTACCTAATTAATTAAAATAGCATTATTTTAATTTATCGGCATTTATAAATCATAAATTTAATTACAATAATATATTTCAAATGTATTAGACTCTGAATAATTTTATTTATTTTATATTAATAAACATTACATTATTTTCAAATTATATTAATTGCATTATTGGTGTTAATATTTCTATCGCAGTGTTGTATCAATCGGTTGACAGCAATGTCCGCATCACTCGAGTCACGCATTTGTTCGCAAATATTCACAAATGTTTGCAGTTTTGTCACAACATATGGATTCTTACAATAAATATAAATTAATATAATTTCTTAAATATATAAAAAACAATTAATTAAATACTTGATTCAAATTAAAGCAGTTTTGGTGGAAAGTGTCGACCAGTTGTCGATAACAGTGTCTATTATTGAGCTCTTGTTTCGTATGGAGTATAGCATTGGTTGCGATGTTTGGCATTAAGTGTTNCTCTTGTTTCGTATGGAGTATAGCATTGGTTGCGATGTTTGGCATTAAGTGTTGAATACTATTCACGTATTCATTGAACACGTTATCCACGTATTCGCGACCTTTCAGTATAGTCTCCAACTCTTTAACATACCTTTAAAATCAAATAAATAATAAACAAAACAATAAATAATTTTAAAAATAAATAACCTTTAATTACCTCAGTTTCTCATTGACATCATTAGTGGACTTAATATAATTCTCCACCATATATATGGGTATATCACTGAACTTCACAACATCCCAGTCCTCAATGGATGGATACTCATGTGTCTCATCGGAAACTTTATGAAACCCTATAAATACACCAAAATTAATATAATATTATTTTTAATAAAACTTGCAAATATTAATATACCTTGAAACTCAGCTACTGGTAATTTGCCAATAGACAAATCGCCATACTGTTGCACTTGTTGAGTGCCCGGGATAATTTTTGGATTAGACTTGTTTGCTGAGTCAAAAACAATTTTAAATTGCTCCTCCAGTGTCTCCACCTGTAGGTCTGCGGTCTCACTATTTTTGAACCAGTAGTAGCTAAACAGACCACCTTGGTAATGGAATAAAAAAAATATTAGCTTATATAAATCTAAATAATATTTTTTAAACTTACCTAGGCACGCTTTGTATTTTTCAAAATCACAAAACGCTTGCCAACTGTCCTGAGTGGGCTTGGATGAGGTGACGGCGTATACGCCTATGTCTTTCGGTAGCATTTTGTCAAACATTGAGCCTGATAATATTTTTAAAATAAAGTTTACAGTTATTGTGACAAGGTGGCTTATATATGAGTACCTGATTCGCAAGTTTCCAAATAAAACACGAGTTTCTCATAGCGTTTGTTTTGGTGCATATCCTTTAGGGCGGCGTTTAACTCCTCCCCATATAAGTACTCCTTTGGGAATACTATTAAATCTGGAAAAATATAATTAAAAATAAATTACTTGATAACATAATGTTAAATGGATAAGTGAGTAAGATAATAATTATCTTAAACTGTAAAATTAATTCCATTAAGTAATAGAATTCTAAGAAATGTTTATCTAAATATATTTTTATATGTACAGGCAGGTGTTAACAATTATTGAATTATTACCTGGTGATCCATGGTCAATAAAATATACAAATATATGATCATCAGGGCCACTGTTGACCACCTTTTTGCCAAGCTTAGCTAACTCAGGGTCGCCCTTAAGTACTGCTAAAAAGTTCTGAAAAATTATTAAATAAATTAAATATAAATTATCTATAAATTAAAAATATATTTTTAAAAATTACATTAGGGTTGACATCATCACCGGTATAATGTTTGGGAATATTATGGTATAGGTTGGTGCCATTGGGCTCGTTAACTACAACACCAGGTTGCGGGTTCATTTTATTATACGCAATGTCATCGTAATGCATAATAATTATATTCTCATCCGGGATACCGTTAGCCCTTACCATTTGGTAGGCGTGGTATACATTGGCCTAAAAAATAATTATTTTTAAATAATTAGTCATGCTTGATTTAAAAAAGTAAATTAATAAACTACAAATAGTCATATAAATTATATACAAAATATTGTTACATGAATTGAGTAGTTATTCCACCCTGTACCACCAGCACATAGCACCACCCATATTTTGCCCTTAAACTGACCAGGCTTAACATTTGGCAGGGCATCAGCCGATAGCAATACGACCGCAACAAATAAACACAATATTTTCATTATAAATACAGTAAAAGACTTTAAATTGAGCTGTCTCTTTTTAAAAATTACTATTTTATATGATTTTGTGACATTTATATACATAATAAAATAGATTATATTTTATCCTACTGAAATATTAGAGATAATTTGAACACATACTGTAATAGGCACAGGGTATAAGTTATCAATCACAAATAGTAGATAGTTCATTTTATTTCTTATGAATTATGAAGTATAGGTATTTTGTACTGTACCTTTATAAGTGTTACATCTTAGGTTTTATGTAATTTTTAAAAAATATTTTTACTTATAAAGCGACATGTGATATTTATCTATCCTTATGACTTTTTGTTATCAGACATTGAGAATGGTTAATTATTATTATTATTTATAGATACTGTATTAAATATTTTATATTACGTAGTGTAGTAAAAACAATGTAATATTATTGATTTTATGATCATTATTATAATACATGTGCATTAATGATTTTATTCATACACAATAAATTTACACAAACACTATAGTCAGACAATTTAATAACATTATGAGAATATTATTTTAATAATGAGATGTAATTGAATTTAATAATAATAATATTTTTGAAATAATAAATATTTTTTTAGTAAACCTACTTTAAAAATACTAGTTTAATAATGTAACTTTTATTTTAAGTCTAAAGAATTTACTAGACTACATAGTTCAATTAATTATTTTATTAATTAATTAATTAATGTATTATAAAAAATTTTTATTAATTAACAACATCAATTAATAAATCTGTTTTAATAAATTAACTAAGGTTTCTATATAATACTAATTTTCTATCAAAATTATACAGGATCATTATATTTTTTGACTTGATATTTAATGGAATTATTTTTAAAAATAAATAATTTTGTAGTAGCTCGCAACACGTCCAACTCTACACTTATATCAGGGTCGTCGCAGTATTTTTCAAAATTTTTAATTTCAACACAAATTAACTTCATAATTGTAGATTTTTTAGAAACACAAATATATATCCATGCATAATATAAAATCATTGACACCACAAATAACGTCATTATATAAATTAAATATATATCCCAATTTACATAAAATATAAATAACGGCAAGGTAATTGTCAATGTGAAAGTTGATAGGAATATAAGATATTTTAGCAAGTATATATTTTTCTCGAGAAGTATATCGAAATGAATAAATATATGAAGTTTTTGTTGAACATCAATAACGTCGATAATTTTAGGTTTATTATTTTGTGTGTAATTTTTGTTAATTAACAGGGTATAATAATGATTTAAAATCTCAATAAATTTCATGTTTAATTCGTAATAAATTAATTGTTTGGATACAAAAAATCCCATCAAGGGAAATGTTAATATTGACATACGTTGCACAAAATTTATAGGCACATTTAACATGGCAAAAATATCATTGATAACTTGATGATTACTTACAATTATAGTTATTAAAGTTAGAAAAATAGCCATAATAATAGCAAATATTGTACGACCTTGCGTATAATAGCATTTTTGACAAACGTTATTTATTTGCTGGTATGTTTTTAATTCACGATAAAATCTAAATATTCTCGCTGAATGAACTTTCACAAATACATATGATATAAGCATGGATAGTGAGTAGATCATCAATACTATTTTTATAAATATCATGGTGACGTGATTATTTATAAAAAACATAAACGGGTATTGTAATAAAAATGCCGACAGTGTGGTTATTGTAATCCCGGTGAATATTTGTCGGACAATTTTATTACTACAATTAAGTCCAAATATGATAAACGCGTATTCAAACATGTCAGTACAAAAATTAATATTTTTAAATATTTATAAAAATTTACACCAAAAATATTAGTTTGGAAAAATAATTCAAAAATATTATAATGCAATATTTTTTAAAATATTTTTAGAAAATAAAAATATATTCTGGTGAGCTTATTCTAACAATATTATTTATATAATATAATATGTAATAAAATGTTAGTATTCATAGTTGATGAATTATTAATATAAAGTGCATGCATTAGTCACATAAAAATATTCATATTATTGATATTACGATCATTATCATTTTAATAGACAATGCCAATTAATTGAATTCTTGTTATTATATAATTCAAACAAAAAATTGTTTAAGTACAGTATATACATGTTATAAATAAATATTATTTAATCTTATATCATATTAAATAAATTTTATAAATAATTGTTATGTTATAAAAATATTAAGTGTGTATATATAATACTACTACATATAGCTTAAATAAACTTAGTAATAAATGTGTTTTAATAATTATACTAATTTAAACTAATAAATATATTTTATATGCGGTATTTTAAGTAAAAATATTAAGTAATTGTAATTTCTGAAATAATAAAACAATTAATAATAATAATACTAATACTAATAAAATATATCAATAACTTGCTTATAACAAAATGTCATAAACTATATATAGAAATTTAATTACAAAATTTTATTATATTTAATCAAATATAACAATAATTATTAATTAAAATTTCTAATAAACTACTATTATTTTAATATCAAAATTAAACTTGATCATTAGGTCTTGTAACTTCGTATTTAACACAATTATTTTTATAATTAAATAGTCTTGTAGTTACTTTTAACACATCCAGCTCGACACATATATCAGGGTCGTCGCAATATATTTCAAAATTATTAATTTCTTTACAAATTAATTTTATAATTTTAGTTTTTTTATAAACATTATATTGAATCCATGCATAATATAAATCCATGGTCACCACAAATAACGTCATTAAATACATAGTAAATGAGTCACAGTTTACATAAAATATGAATAATGGCAACATAAGTGTCAAGCTAAGCGTTGATAATAATATTAAATATTTTATCAAGTACATATTTTTCTCGAGCAATACATCAAAATGAATAAAAACATTAAGTTTTTGTTGACAATCAATTACGTCCGATATTTGTGGTTTATTATTTTCATTGAAGTTCCTATTAAGTAATAATTCATAATAATTATAAAGTACCTCGATGAATTTCATATGTAATTCGTAATAAATTAATTGTTTTGACTGATACAATCCGACCATGTGAAATGATAATATTGACATACGTTGCACAAAATTGACCGGTAAATTTAGCATGGCAAAAATGTCGTTCATAACCTGTTGGTAGCATACTATCATTGTTATTAAAGTTAGAAAAATAGTCATAATAATAGCAAATATTAAACGGTTTTGACTATTTAAACAAGCATGATTAATGTTATTTATTTTTTGATAGTTTGTTAATTCATTATAAAAACTAAATATTTTTCTTGAGTGAGCTTTCACAAATATATACGAAGTAAGCATTGAGAATGAATATATAATAACTAAGACTTTTAAAATGATCATGCCCATGTTGTTATTAATAAATAGTGTAAATGGGAATTGTAGTATAAACGCCGACAGTATTGTAATAGTAATGCCAGTAAATATTTTGCTTGCTACTTTATTATCGCAATTAAGTCCAAATATAATAAACACGTGCTCAAACATTTTAGTGTTGATAATATTTGTAAATGATTACACATACACAAATACAACCAACATAATATTATGAACTAAGCAACTCAATAAAGTATCATATTTAAAAAAATATACTTTATAAATTATAAATATATGTCATTGAATCATTTGTGTCATTAATTGTATGATCATCATCATTATTAAATTAGCTCATTACGAAATGAATATAACTTTTATAAATTAGTATGTTCATACACTATGTAAGTATTCAGACATTGTAGTTAGGCAATTTGTAGGGTCGTTAAGAAAATTAATTGAATTTATATGTCTTATAATAATATTTTATGAAATATAATAATGTTGACATGAAACATATTTTTTAGAAAACATCACTTTACCGATTAAATGNACGTGATTATTTATAAAAAACATAAACGGGTATTGTAATAAAAATGCCGACAGTGTGGTTATTGTAATCCCGGTGAATATTTGTCGGACAATTTTATTACTACAATTAAGTCCAAATATGATAAACGCGTATTCAAACATGTCAGTACAAAAATTAATATTTTTAAATATTTATAAAAATTTACACCAAAAATATTAGTTTGGAAAAATAATTCAAAAATATTATAATGCAATATTTTTTAAAATATTTTTAGAAAATAAAAATATATTCTGGTGAGCTTATTCTAACAATATTATTTATATAATATAATATGTAATAAAATGTTAGTATTCATAGTTGATGAATTATTAATATAAAGTGCATGCATTAGTCACATAAAAATATTCATATTATTGATATTACGATCATTATCATTTTAATAGACAATGCCAATTAATTGAATTCTTGTTATTATATAATTCAAACAAAAAATTGTTTAAGTACAGTATATACATGTTATAAATAAATATTATTTAATCTTATATCATATTAAATAAATTTTATAAATAATTGTTATGTTATAAAAATATTAAGTGTGTATATATAATACTACTACATATAGCTTAAATAAACTTAGTAATAAATGTGTTTTAATAATTATACTAATTTAAACTAATAAATATATTTTATATGCGGTATTTTAAGTAAAAATATTAAGTAATTGTAATTTCTGAAATAATAAAACAATTAATAATAATAATACTAATACTAATAAAATATATCAATAACTTGCTTATAACAAAATGTCATAAACTATATATAGAAATTTAATTACAAAATTTTATTATATTTAATCAAATATAACAATAATTATTAATTAAAATTTCTAATAAACTACTATTATTTTAATATCAAAATTAAACTTGATCATTAGGTCTTGTAACTTCGTATTTAACACAATTATTTTTATAATTAAATAGTCTTGTAGTTACTTTTAACACATCCAGCTCGACACATATATCAGGGTCGTCGCAATATATTTCAAAATTATTAATTTCTTTACAAATTAATTTTATAATTTTAGTTTTTTTATAAACATTATATTGAATCCATGCATAATATAAATCCATGG